TTGGTTTCTAAGTACACGCATCATTGAGTCAATGAGTGCCATGAACCTCCAAGTAAACAGCGCCCATAACTGAGGGATAATTTATGGGGCTTCCAGGGGATACAAAGCAGACATACGAGGTCAAAAGAGCTCAAAAGGTAAACCCTAAACCCGAAAACCCTAAAACCCTAAACCCGAAACCCTAAGCCCCAAACCCTAAACCCTAAACCCTGCTTAAGATGTTCAGATGCCAGGCTGCTGGAGGTCGGCAGCGCGAAGCTCGCAGTTGTTGTTGAACTTGGTGATGCGCGCCTGGGGTTTAGGGTTTCGGGTTTAGGGTTTCGGGTTTAGGGTTTAGGGTTTAGGGTTTGGGGTTTAGCGTTTAGGGCTTGGGGGTCAGGGTTTAGGGTTCCGAGGTTCAGGGTTTGAGCTTTGGGGTTCAGGAGGTTTAGGGTTTGGGAGTTGGGGTTCAGGCAGCTCCCCACGAGGATTCTGGGTCGAGGGGAGCAGGGTTTGGGAACGGTTCTCCCGAAAGCGTTTTGAGCTGCGATTAAGACCTCGTGAGACCTTTAAGTGTCAGCAAGACGAAACGTTTGGCGGACGATGCGGCGATACGGGTCATCGGAGACCTCATCCCATCCATCACCGTCGTGTAGGGTTTTAGGGTTTAGGGTTTAGGGTTTAGGGTTTAGGGTTAGGGTTTAGGGTCTAGGGTCTAGGGTCTAGGGTCTAGGGTTTAGGGTTTAGGGTTTAGGGTTTAGGGTTTAGGGTTTAGGGTTTAGGGTTTAGGGTTTAGGGTTTAGGGTTTAGGGTTTAGGGTTTAGGGTTTAGGGTTTAGGGTTTAGGTTTCGGGTTTCGGGTTTAGGGTTTAGGGTTTAGGGTTTAGTTTGCTCCCAGCTTGTCGAGGGCGCCCAGCGTCAGGACGCGGTGGTTTGTAGTCTTCGCTTCGGTGCTCGGGATCCAGAACTCTCGAAACTTGGTAGACCAGTAACCCTATTATAATAAGGGCACCCTTTTTTGGGTTGATTATTTTATGAAAGAAACCATAGACAAAAAAGGGTAAAGGGAACCACTGGGCTACCACCCTGATATCAGGCCCCTTCTTCGAAGAAAGTATCCCGACATTCTGGGCGTTCGCGGGGTCTCTAGGGTTTGGAGCTTAGAGTTTAGGGTTCCGGTCTCTGTCAAGCCTTTTTTGACCCCACACAGCAGCCTTTGTTTACATCTCCACCCCCCCCTACCTCCCCCCCCCCCCCCCCCGAAAGGGGTGCTCCCAAGAATCTAAATTTTTGGGGAGACCCCTAAACCCTAAGCATTTGGGGAACCCCTAAACCCTAAACCCTAAACCCTAAACCCTAAACCCTAAATGTTGGGGGAGAGGCTGGGGGATCCCGATGGCAAAAAGCCCGAGGAGCATCCTCCGCCTTGCCCTCCTTCTTGATGGTGGTCTGCATGTCGGACAGCCTTGGGTCTTACTTGGAGGATTCATGGTACTTACTGGAACCCAATTTAGGGTTTAGGGTTTAGGGTTTAGGGCTTGGGGTTCAGGATTTTGGGTTGGGGGTTTCGGATGCACCTCGCGTTAGGCATAAGCCGAAGCTGGCAGAGGCAACGATGAAAGCGGTGACTTGGGAATGCACCGTCACAGCTGAGAGTGGGAAGCGACTTCAAGGCAGATAAAGAGCATCCGGAACAGAAATCTTGTTAGGGTTTCGGGTTTAGGGTTTAGGAGTCCTGTTTCAAGCTTTGGAAAGATTCCTTAAGTGGGGGGGAGGTGTTGGTGCTATCCCATGATCGGGTTTAGGGTTTAGGGTTTAGGGTTTAGGGTTTAGGGTTTAGGGTTTAGGGTTTAGGGTTTAGGGTTCAGGGTTTAGGGTTTAGGGTTTAGGGTTTAGGGTTTAGGGTTTAGGGTTTAGGGTTTAGGGTTTAGGGTTTAGGGTTTCCACGTGCTTCGGGTTTAGGGTTTCATCCCTCAACCCAAGCTCGACCTCCCTCGCTGCGCCAAAACCTCCTTCCCCAAAGCGGAAAGCCCTACTTGGAGGTTCAGGCTACACATTAACCCCAAGCCTTGGGTCTTACTTGGAGGATTCAATGGTACTTACTGGAACCCAATTTAGGGTTTAGGGTTTAGGGCTCAGGGTTTAGGGTTGAGGGTTTAGGGTTCGGGGTACCCCTTAATCCTAAGCACCCCGCGCATGCAATACCCTAAACCCTACACCCTAAACCCTAAACCCTAAACCCTAAACCCTAAACAAAGCCGAACCCAGGCAAGATGCAGGGAGATCACCTTGGCCACAGGGTTCACTGCCTGTGGACGGGAACTCACAGCCCGTTTGCCTCTTGGGGCTTGGGGCTTCAGATCCTCCAAGCCCAGGCCCCAAACCCTAGCCCCTACACCCTAAACCCTAAACCCTAAACCCTAAAACCCCAAACCCTAAACCCTAAACCCTAAACCCTAAACCCTAAAACCCTAAAACCCTAAACCCTAAACCCTAAAACCCTAAACCCTAAACCCTAAACCCTAAACCCTAAACCCTAAACCCTAAACCCTAAATCCTAAATCCTAAACCCTACCATCCTTGTGAAGGTTTCGGGGGGTGCTGGGTCTAGGGTCCACCCTGCCCTTGCTTGGGAGAGCCCTGAGCGAAACCCGAAACCGCAACCGCATGCCAGCGATGAAAAGGGACCCCTGCCTCTTGTTGCCGCTTTGGGGTTTAGGGTTTAGGGTTTAGGGTTTAGGGTTTAGGGTTTAGGGTTTAGGGTTTAGGGTTTAGGGTTTAGGGTTTAGGGTTTAGGGTTTAGGGTTTAGGGTTTAGGGTTTAGGGTTTAGGGTTTAGGGTTTAGGGTTTAGGGGTAGGGTTTAGGGTTTAGGGTTTAGGGTTTAGGGTTTAGGGTTTAGGGTTTAGGGTTTAGGGTTTTGGGTTTTGGGTTTTGGGTTTAGGGTTCTTTTTCCCCGCCCTCGGTGTGGGCTGTTAGATTTTGAGCTGAGCTCTTCTCCTCGCCTGGTCTGCTCCTCGCCCGTCACCTGTATCCCACCGCAGGGAGAGTGTCGCCCGGTAAGCCCTAAATGCCCAATACACACCATAAACCCTATTAACCTTGCAAGCTCTAGAAACAACTCTATGAGCCCTCAAAACCCTAGAAGCCCAATAAACCCCATAAACCCTACAAATCCCGTGAACCCTCTAAGCCCAGAAAGCCCTAAACACCCAAGACCGGCTGGCTCTTAGTAGGGAATGAGGGAATTAGGGCCCTATAGAATCTCTAAACCCTGAACCCTAAACCCTAAACCCTAAAACAAGATCCAGGAGGGGGGAGAAGTTTCGGCCTGTCCGGAGACCAGGGCCAGGTTGGCAAGGAGAAGCACCAAGCGGCCTGAGCTGGGTTGAATTCTGGGTTTTCAGGGTTTGGGGATTAGGGTTTGGGGTTTAGAGTTTGGGGTTTAGGGTTTAGGGTTTAGGGTTTGTCCTGCTTGTAAAAGGACTAGGCTGCCCAGTAACCAAGGCTTAAAAAGGGTGCCCTTTTTTGCTTAAAGGGGTTCATAAGGGAACCTAAACCCCCCAAAAAGGGAACAAGGGTACCACTGGGCATCCTAGAGGAGGGATCCCTAAACTGAGAACAGCCAATAAAGATGCACGAAGATTGAAACACGCATGAGTCCCTGACCTGACTAAGCTACTGGTTTTAAATTTTTATAAGGATTATGCAGGGGCTATATAGGGATAGTGGTAAGTTAGTCCGGGGCTCCTATGCCCCCCCAAAGCGACCCCACACCCTGAGCCCTGAACTCCTAAACCTGCCCCGTCCAAGGTTGCTAGGGTTTGGGGTTCAGGGTTTAGATTCCAAACTACACCCTGCAAGCCCTAAGCCTTACATCCCTAGCTTAACCTTCCACGGAAGAAACATCCCCCAAACCCCTACTTGGACACACCAGACAGTGAAACTATACAGGATACCCCCCCAACTTGGCTCATACCACACTGCTTGCCTACACACCAAACCCTGAACCCCTAACACGCATAACCTCTAAACCCCTTAGCTTCCTAAGCCTAATCAAGGCTTAACGAAATCCCAAGCACCGAACCCTCAGCTCTCTTTCTTACTACTACTGGCTTAAGGACCCCCAAAAAAAGAAGATGAACAATCCCCATATTGCCCGTACACGAAATAGTGTTTGCCATGCTTTGGGGGGTGTCTTAAGCAATGTCAAAATTATGAGCCCTTTTTGGATCCCTCTCATAATGCGGCACCTAATATGTAGGATACCCAAAAAGGGACCATAATCTTGACAGCCTCCCAAATAGTAGCTTACTGTCTGCCGGCAGGCTCATGGCTGTCTTCGCGATCGTCGGCTCCCAAGAGAGCAGGGCGCGAAACTTCGTTCGAGGGTGAAAAAAGGCTGCGGCGGAGCGGGCGATTGGCACTCTCCTAGGCCAAGGTAGGGTTTAGGGTCGGGGTTTAGGGTTCAGGGTTTAGGGACCCTTCAAGTAGGGTTTGAAGGTTTACGTGCAGCAATTGGCGATTGAAGACCTCAACATTCTAAACCCAAAGCCCGAACGCCTCAATCCATAATCCCAAACCACCAAAGAACAGACAAACAACCGTTCAGGGTTCAGGGTTCAGGGTTTAGGGTTCAGGGTTTAGGGTTTCCCTAGGGCCAAAACCCTCCGATTACTACCCCCCACCCCGCCTGATCCTGCTTCGCATACACTGGAAATCCAAGAAGCCCCCCCCCCGCATCTGCCATGCACTAACTCCAGGTTTAAGGTTTAGGTTTTAGGGTTTAGGGTTTAGGGTTTAGGGTTTAGGGCTTAGGGCTTAGGGCTTAGGGTTTAGGGACCCTAAATCCTAAACCCTAATCTCTAAAGTTCAGGGTCCAGGACATGGGAAGGTTGTTTCGGCTTGCGCCCTGCCGCACCATATGCCTAAACCCTAAACCCTAAACCCTAAACCCTTCACCCTAAACCCTAAACCCTAAACCCCAAAAAACCCAAAAACCCAAAAACCCGTGCCAGAGCAGCGATGGCGGGCTGCGCATGGGTCAAGTCCCAGCCGGACTTGGGCGACGGCACCGTTGATGGGCAGGGCGGGTGCTCGGGATTCATGGGCTTCCTGGGGTTCAGGGTTTAGGGCTAGGGTTTAGGGCTTAGAGTTTAGGGTTTAGGGTTTAGGGGCGCCCTTGTGCTGAGGGAATGAGGTACCCTGCATAACCCCTTGCAGGGTGTAGAAAGGGCCTTAATAACCCTCATTCCCTACTAAGAACCAGGGGGTTTGACTTAGCAAGTCTACTTTAGCCTCCTCTAGAAACCTTATGAAAATTCCCACAACCCTCCTTGCTAACCCTACTTGCTGAGTCAAAAGGGCTTCCAGTTAAACCCCCTCAACCCTAAACAGTAAACCCTTAACCCTAGACCCGTCGGGTTCATGGGGTTTTGTCAGTACGCTGTAGCGGTGGGTGTTCTGTCAGAGGGGAAGTGCCAAGGAAGATGACCGCGTTCTTTTCTTTGGGTCTTCTTAGCGCCTTTGGGGGTCAGATGTTGGGCTTTGGGGTGCAGGACTGAGGATTTGGGTCTGTATAGAGTCTAGGGTGTCGGGTTTAGGGTTAGGGTTTAGAGCTTAGGGTGTGGGTTTTAGGCAGGGTCCTGGCATCTTGAGATGGGAGGGGGGCGGGCCCTTTGGAGGGTTGGTTTATCTTTGCAGCACTTGGCGATTGAAGACCTCAACATTCCAAACCCTAAGCCCGAACGCCTCAATCCAGAACCCCAAACCACTCAAGAACACACAAACAAACAACCGTTTAGGGTTTAGGGTTTAGGGTTTGGGGTTTGGGTGTAAGAGCCTCAAGAATCTCTGTCTCGGCCCCGGGCAGCTTCCAGGAGGCTTCTCATCTCTGTCTGGGCCCACTTGACGGTGTAGGGGCTTGGGGTTGAGGGTTTAGGGTTTAGGGTTTAGGGTTTAGGGTTTAAGGTTTAGGGTTTGGGGTTTAGGGTTTAGGGTTTAGGGTTTAGGGTTTAGGGTTTAGGGTTTAGGGTTTAGGGTTTAGGGTTTAGGGTTTAGGGTTTAGGGTTTAGCGTTTAGGGGGATTCGAACCCTAAATCCCCCCCCCCCCAAAAAAAAATGGTTCAGTGCTTCGGGTTTAGGGCTGGAGCGCCATCCGCAATGCCAGCCTCGCTGGGCCTCGCGAACTTCACCAACAGCTCCCGGAGGGCCACCTGGCAGTAAGAACAGTAGGGTTTAGGGTTCAGGGTTTAGGGCTTAGGGTTTAGGGCTAGAGCTTTCGAAGATATTTGGATGTTGGAGGTAATAGAGGCGTGTTTTAGGCCTCCTTTTGGGGGTTAAGAGGTTTAGGTTTGGGGTTTAAGGGGTGCAGGCTAGGGCGGATAGTAGGATTTACGGTTCAAAGTTCAGGGTTCAGGGTTCAGGGTTCAGGGTTCAGGGTTTATGGGTTTAGGGTTTAGGGTTTAGGATTTAGGGTTTAGGGTTTAGGGTTGAGGGTTTAGGGTTTAGGGTTGAGGGTTTAGGATTTGGGGTTTAGGGTTGAGGGTTAAGGGTTTAGGGTTGAGGGTTAAGGGTTTAGGGTTTGGAGTGTAGTCTGGGGAATGTAGGCTTCAGGGTCAGCGGCTCAGGTTGAGGGACTACCGAAATAGAAACTTGGGAACCTGAAACACTCAACCCTGAGCCCTAAACACCCTAAACCCTAAACCCTAAACCCTAAACCCTAAACCCTATAAACCCTAAGCCCTAAACCCTAAACCCTAAGCCCGAACCCTAAACCCTAAACCAGGGTCGGGCCTGCGGCAGCGTCTCCAGCAGCCGCTGAACCTGGGTCGAGGGTTGAGGGTTTAGGGTTGAGGGTCGAAGGTTGAGGGTTGAGGGTCGAGGGTCGAAGGTTGAGGGTCGAGGGTTTAGGGTTGAGGGTTTAGGGTTTAGGGTTTAGGGATAAGGATTTGGGGTTGAGGTTTGAGGGTTGGGGTTTGAGGGTTGGGGTTTGGGGGTTGGGGCTTGGGGCTTGGGGGTTGGGGGGTTGAGGGCGGAGAGTTGAGGGTTGGGGGGTTGGGGGTTGGGGGTTGGGGGTTCGGGGTTGGGGGTTGGGGGTTGGGGGTTGGGGGTTGGGGGTTGGGGGTTGTTGAGGGCTGAGGGTTGAGGTTCTAAGGGGCTTAGGAATTGGAGGTACATCAACTGCCACAAAGGCACTTCGGAGTACGACTTCAATACAAACTGCCTGCGCAAGTGGTCCTGCAACTCCCAGTCTTCAGGTGTACACTGTGCACCGCCTTGATGGCAGCTCTCAAAGGTCTATCACCCAGCGCTCTTAATCACAGTACAACGGTCAGATGCTCCACGTCCGATACTTTACACAGCGTCACAATGTACTGCAACTCAGCTTCAGCGAAAAGTCTCAAGGCTTCTCTAGCACTTTAGCAAGTCTCTCACGCAGGAGCGACATGCGTGTGCTGGGGCTCCCAATTGCTCGGAGGCCTGTGCCGACGAGCAGAATCCACGACTTTGGGGATTTTGCGCCGTGCGGATGCTCCAGTTCTGCTCCCCGGTCGCTCATCTGCACTGGCCAGGGAAACTCCGGCATTGAGAACGTATTGGGCGCGGCAAGGGAGAATGAGAATCTTGAGACGTCCCTCTAAATTTTAGGAGAAAATGGTCATGCGCTCGCCCCAACGTGTTGGAGATTAGATACTGATCCAGGTCTTCTTGGCTCCTCTTGCGGCCTGAAAATGGCTGGAATCGTCTCGAGGGCATGCGAGACGCGCCAGCCCTTCCCCCTCACCTTTGCTCGGGGGTCTGAAGCAGCGCGATGGAAACCAAGCGCCCCTGCATAGGAGAAGCGCCAAACCCTAAACCCTGAACCCTAAACCCTGAACCCTGAACCCTAAACCCTAAACCCTAAACCCTGAACCCTAAACCCTGAACCCCAAACCCTAAACCCTAAACCCCCTTCAAACAGACACACCTGCAGATCCAGACTTGCCTCAAGCCAAGACATGAAACCGAGCTCTTCCTGTCAGGATGCGCTTCTTATCACTGGGTCACGAAAGACCCCGCGGATTTGTGCTGATCAGGTAGAGCTGACTTTAGAGACTTCAGCTCCACCTGACCGGGGTCGTTCAGTGCGGGGCTTGGCTCCCAAGCGATTCTGGCAGTGACAGTGCTGGTCGACTGGTGCTTTCAACCTTTTTTGGACTGTAACATCAGATGAGTCTGTTTAGGGTTTTGGGTTTTGGGTTTAGGGTTTTGGGTTAGGGTTTAGGGTTTAGGGTTTAGGGTTTAGGGTTTAGGGTTTAGGGCTTAGGGTTTAGGGTTTAGGGTTTAGGGTTTAGGGCTTAGGGTTTAGGGTTTAGGGTGTAGGGTTTAGGGTTTAGGGTTTAGGGTTTAGGGTTTAGGGTGGTGGCATGTTTGTGGGCTCGACTGAGAAGGAGCAGTGTCTCATTGACATGGAATGATGGCATAACTACAATCTTCCAACATACTACAGATTCAACCCTGAGAGCCTCAGAGCCTTGTAGGCCTTGAAGTCCGCCAGGTCGGCGACTGCGATTTTTGAATAACATGGAGGTTCAATACTTCGCAGACGGGCACGGGCGTGGCCCAAAACGTTTCAGCTTCGACATCGGGTTCTGAGCGTTCTCTAGAGTAGAACCATCACGTTGCCCCCGTAAACTGTTACACGTGCAGGAGAGTTGGAAATTGTCGTGCTGGCAACTTCAAGAGTGAATTCTAGGATCTTGGGCCTTTCCCTTTCAGCTGCCTGAAGCTTACCCAAAATGGTGGTAAGAACCCGCGCAATGATGCCAAAATTCGCATCTAGAACAAGCAGAGCAGGATCCCCTTCCCAACCCCCCCCCCCCTCCCCCCCCCGCCCAGTTGGACCTGCCCGAACCACTTGGAGCACCAGGTGACATGGGACTTGGCTTTCCTTCGTCGGATTCGTCTGCCATGCGCCCCGCGTTGGGCAGCCCGCTACCGAGGCGGAGCACGCAAGCTTTACAAAAAAGTGGAGGTACATCAACGGGAGAACTTGGAAATCTGCAAAACTCTAGCACTCTTTCTCTGCCACAAAGGCACTTCGGAGTACGACTTCAATACAAACTGCCTGCGCAAGTGGTCCTGCAACTCCCAGTCTTCAGGTGTACACTGTGCACCGCCTTGATGGCAGCTCTCAAAGGTCTATCACCCAGCGCTCTTAATCACAGTACAACGGTCAGATGCTCCACGTCCGATACTTTACACAGCGTCACAATGTACTGCAACTCAGCTTCAGCGAAAAGTCTCAAGGCTTCTCTAGCACTTTAGCAAGTCTCTCACGCAGGAGCGACATGCGTGTGCTGGGGCTCCCAATTGCTCGGAGGCCTGTGCCGACGAGCAGAATCCACGACTTTGGGGATTTTGCGCCGTGCGGATGCTCCAGTTCTGCTCCCCGGTCGCTCATCTGCACTGGCCAGGGAAACTCCGGCATTGAGAACGTATTGGGCGCGGCAAGGGAGAATGAGAATCTTGAGACGTCCCTCTAAATTTTAGGAGAAAATGGTCATGCGCTCGCCCCGGTGTGTTGGAGATTAGATACTGATCCAGGTCTTCTTGGCTCCTCTTGCCGCCTGAAATTGGCTCCAAGGCTTGCGAGACGCGCCAGCCCTTCCCCCTCACCTTTGCTCGGGGGTCTGAGATAGCTTTCCTCGAGACAAGACATAAGTTCGTCCGGTCTGGATGCGCTTCTATCAATATGGGTCACGAAAGACCCCCACCACCCCCTAGCAACAAAAATTAAATCCTTATGACGACGGGAGAAAAACAACAGAAGAACAAGAGAGATCTCGGGAAGGCTTCATAGTCTACGGGGACACCCTTGTTGTCGGCTTGTTGTCGGTGGACAGGATGGTATTACTTCTTCAAGTAGTGACACACTTCCATGAGAACTTAGAGCAGGGACCTCCCATTGTTTGAGGCTTAAGGTTCAGAGGTTTATGGTTTAGGGTGTAGCCTTCAGTTTTGAGGGTAAGGGCTTAGGTGCGTAGGGTTGGGGTTTGGGGTTCATGGTTGTCGTGCTTCTTGCTCAGCCCTGTTGCTGACTTTCAAAGAAGCGCATCGCGTCTGGCTGCCGCAGCCAGTCGTATATGCAATGATAACTTGACCCTGCTTAGAAGCTCTTTTGAGACTTAGCAATGCTACTTCGTAGCCCCTAGTCTCCCTATCACGATCCGCAGAACCTGTTAACCCTACTTGCTAAGTCAAAAGAGCTTCCAACCCTGGCTCCGATAATCAGAGTTCCTGCATCAGTGCCCTTGAGCCTTAAGCTACAAGTCCCGGCAGACGCGACGATCCAAAGCCTAAACCTAAACCCTAAACCGCAGAACGGGCAAATTGATGATGGAGCTCCGGACTGCATTTGGCCCATAATGTTCACGCTCTGGTTCAGACGAGGTTGCTGCATGATGCACATGAAGGCGGAGGACCGGCGAACCTACGCAAAAGCACTACCGCGCACAGGGGGGGGTTGCCCTGCGGTTTCACCAGCACCGCGGACCTCTCATACAGTTAGGGTTTAGGGTTTATTGTTTAGGGTTTAGGGTTTAGGGGGCCCAGGCTTCGTGTCTAAACGAGCGCTGATGCGCACGGAGATTTTCGGCAAAAGCCTGAGCAGTGTGAATTGTGAGGGTTTAGAGGTTTGGGGCTTAAGGGCTGCAGCAGGTTTAGGGCGGCGTCAGGGTAACTTGCCATAATCGGGGTGTAGATTCCATCCTATAGTCCATGACAACTTCTGCCGCATGAACTCAAACTAAACTCCTTACAACCCTCATAAAGACCATATGAAGTAGGGTATATATTTCTTGTACCCCCAAAAGGACAGCAAACATATACACTCACCAATATTAAAAAGGAACCTTATATACACTCACCAAAAACAGTAATATGAACTCTGTTTCATATAGAACCGGATGAACCCCCGTAGACCGGAGAACTCAGAATGCAAAGAAGCCCTGCCTTGGCCTGTGCACCGTTCAGCCTTGCACCCGCCCCCGTGCTCAGAAGATTGCCTTGGGTTTGAGCGCTGGGGCTTTCTGTTTAGGGTTTAGGGTTTAGGGTTTAGGGTTTAGGGTTTAGGGTTTAGGGTTTAGGGTTTAGGGTTTAGGGTTTAGGGTTTAGGGTTTAGGGTTTAGGGTTTAGGGTTTAGGGTTTCAGATCAAATCTTGGCTTCAGAAAATTGGGGTGACGTACTGGGGTGTCCTTGCAACAGCAGGGTCCATGGCTGTCATGCTGTTGGATGCTCTTGGCAACCCTCAAGTAGCCGTTCGGAGGACCGTCAGGGAAGGCAGCGTTAAGGGTGTTCACTCGATGAGGTGCGATAGTTTCAGGTGTAGCGCTGCACCTGTCGGACCACGGCTGAGCGGCGATCTCAGCGATCCCTACAACCCCCGCCACCCCCCCCCCCACCCCCCCAACAGCTTCTGCCCAGCAAGGACCAAGAGACAGAGAGGCTGACTGCCAAGAAGGCCACACTCACCACCCGCGACGTCGCATCATTGGCAGCATCCACTGGGCCGCTTGTGCCGGCGGCAGTGGTGGTAGTGGTGGTAGTGGTCGTGGTGCTGGCAGTGTTGGCGGCGGTGGTGGTGGCAACCGCCGCGGTCCAGCCGGTGACCTGCGTGGCGAGTTTGCCCTATAGGAGGGTTTAGGGTTTAGGGTTTGGGGTTTAGGGTTTAGGGTTTAAGGTTTAGGGTTTAGGGTTTGGGGTTTAGGGTTCAGGGTACTGATAAGATAACTCAACTTCTAACGGTACTTATCAGCCCCCGAAGTCCTCCAAGTAGGTTAGAACTAGACAGGTTTAGGGTTTAGGGTTTAGGGTTTAGGGTTTAGGGTTTAGGGTTTAGGGTTTAGGGTTTAGGGTTTAGGGTTTAGGGTTTAGGGTTTAGGGTTTAGGGTTTAGGGTTTGGGGTTTGGGGTTTGGGGTTTGGGGTTTTGTGCTCATGAACATCCAAGTAGGGACGGGCCTAAGACGCGGGGGCTTGGGTTGCAATCAAAATCTCCACGAGCCACCTTGCACTTACTCCTTCGGTTTAGGGCTTGGGGTTTAGGGTTTAGGGTTTAGGGTTAAGTCAATCAATGAAGAAACTCAACGTTTGCCCAAAATGAGGGCCCAACAAGCAACTGCACACTTCTTCGCTCGAGTAGCGAGTTATTCTACTTGGAACATCCCCGCCCTACAGATCTGGAATTTGCGGGCGGTCCTACTCTGGGTTTGTGCGCTCCAGGGATTTTCTGGGGATAATTTGGGGTTGGGCACACCAGGATTCTCTATAAATTCTCTGGGTGTAGGCTCTCCAGGCATTCTCTGTAAATGGTCTGGGGTTGGGCACTCCAGGGAGTATTCTGGGGCAGGGGAATCGGGAGATGGGCTTGGAGTAGACCGGGAGAGGCGAATAGTCTAGTTTAAGATCTATACAACAACCCACACCGAGGGTGGGGAATAATGAAGAGACCGAGCATGCCCACATGAACGAAAGCCCTCCTACAAACTGCGCACGAGCCCGATGTGTCGGCAAGTCGGTAGTGAAAAAATGTCATCAACCGGCATGG